ATTTTATTTGATGTTAATATTTTAATTTTTACATGCACAGTAGCCTTCACAGAAAAGAAGTGAAGACCCAAAGAAGTGGTTAAACTTGGGGGAGGGGGCTGCGTACTATTTTAACAAAGGACAATAAATTGTGAAGTGACAAGACAAAGGAAAAGGGTCTTGGGGTCTAGGGGTGATAAATGTGGGAAAGTAAATATAGCAGAGAAACTAAGGAAGACAAGGGTTATTTTAGTAAGGTTGTCTGTGCAGCCCCATGTCGGGGCTGACTTTCTGTCTCCAGTGATGTGGGCTGTTCCCCTCCTGGCACAGGAAAGAAGAGAGGGGACATATTCACAGGGAAATTTATATCCTGCTTTTAGGCAGATAGGGGCAGGGCAAAGAGCTCTGTCTGCGTTTCCTGCTTCTTGATTGCCTTCAGCTCAAAACAATCCTTATACCAAAGTGGCGTATTTTGGGGTGGCTTATTTTGATCCCCTTCAACAGCAAGAAGGCAAGCAAAATGGCTCACTTATATTATTAAGGTACCAAATTCACTTACAATATTATTTTCATCATCTTTTAAAGCAATAGCTACATCCATACTATATCTCAAGTTCTACTAAAATTTAGCAATGCTCAGATTTTACAAAGAAAACCAAAAATATTATTACATTATAATAATATATTAGTCAATTTTTTCACATCTATCTTCATTTGTGACTATGCCGTATCTATACTGCTCAAAAAATCGTCTCTATAGGAGTCAGTTTCAAAGTTATTTGGTACATAAATCTTGTCCCTCATCATCATTGAAATATTTTTGTTTCTTTGTTTTAATTTCCTTGTATTTATTGCAATACCGCTTTTATTGCATATTTCTTATGTCATTTTGATTTAGAAAAACTGTTTTCTCTAAAAGTTTTAAAATATTTTTAATCCTTTTTAAAGTGAACAGCTAAACTTAGATCCCTTTGCTGTAGCTTTTTGCAAACATCAGTTCATACTAATTAGCAATCATAGTACAAATTCAATATTACTTTCTTTTTTCTGCCGGAGTCCATAATTCACTCTACTTGAGAATTCGCTGCTGTTCTGCCTAGCTCTTTGAAGACATCTTTTATCATATCTGAATTAAATCTAGTTCCTTTCACTTTTCCCAACCATGTTATCTGAGAACGTTTGCAAGATCAAATTTGATAAGAGTTTCTTCAAAATGTGCCATCTTTACACTGGTCCAGAGATTATTGTACCTAATCTCAGAATTGTTTCCCCAAAAATATGATTGCAGTTAGCACTGTTGAGGACACATCTCCTAGTAACAAATTCTAACTACGCACAGTTAGAATTTAGTTAGGCACAAAGAATGGTTCTGGATATTTCAGAGAAAAGTCTAGCTTATGCGTCTTCTTCTTTACTTACTGTGTCAGTGCCATTGCCTTAGGCTGCCCTCCTCTGTCTTTTAGATTAAAGCCTAATATCTAAAGAAGATTTTTCAATTCTTCAGTTAATTTAGAAAAATCTACTCTTTGCAACAGCAGTAAAACAATGACATAGTCATTTCAACCTCCTTGTTTTTATCTTCTGGTTCAACAATATGTACAGTAAATTTTAGTTGTTTAACACAACTTTTGTCCCTGCCACAATCTGATTGAACTGAATAATATATGGTTTTTGAGTTTTTTGTATGGTATTTTGTCCCACTTAATTATCTATGACATCAATAATGATATTTTGAATTCTCCATCCTAGAGTGTGATAATCGATTTTACAATTTCTTTTCCATCTTACATGTTTGGCCATTCTAACATTAAATTTTGAAATTATTTCTACTGAACTTAGAAAATTTTCTTTTTTCAGGAAACATTGTACCACAAAAATCCTCATTATGCTTTCTTTTTAAGAACATCACGCCAGTGTTCTGCATCTCTGTCAATCTTCTGCATTTACTCCTCTTTGTGGAATACTATTAATTGTTTGCTATTTAATTGGCCTTTTTGTTCCAGTTTAGTAATTCCATGTAAGTCTTTTGTGTGCAGGTGACATTTCGTCATCATAATTAAATCTTCAGGGAAGAATATGAAGTTGCAGGGATTTCTTCTGATCTGTCAAGTTATTAATTTAACTAAAACAATTTCCTGACTTGTTTTCTTTTATTTTGTTTTTTTGACCAATAATTAAATCTTCATTATAAGAAATTTGTAATGCCGGTTTGCAAATCTTACATGGGTCATGTTCAATGGAAATCTGCTCCCTTTTATTGTTTTCAATATACAAAAACTTATGCACATTGTTTCTTTGAACACTTCCTCTTTTTTCAGTTTTTCGCTTTTTCTGAGCTACTCTTTTATAATGTTAATTTAATTTCTGTACAGTCTCAATTTGTCTTCATTCTCAATGATCTAGGAACTTCTGCTTCTCAAATCTTCCCCATGTTATGAAACAGTGCTTGTCTCTGATCCACAGACCCAAACCTCCATGGTTGTCCTTTTTTCATAGTGGATTTCCTTTATTTATTTAGAGATTTTTTGAAATTTTATTGTGGTAAAATATACATACCATAAAATTTCCTATTTTAACCATTTTAGGTGCTGCAATTCAGTGGCGTTAGGTACATGCACAGTGCTGTGCAACCATCAACACTATCCACTTCCAGAACTTTCTCGTCCTCACAACCAGAAACTCGTACCCATTAAACAATAACTTCCCATTCCTTTTGCCTCCTCCAGCCCCTGGCAACCACCATTCTGCTCTCTGTCTTGATAAATTTAACTATTCTAGATATTTAATATAAGTGAAATCGTAGAAATATTTGTCCTTTTGTGACTGGCTTATTTCACTTAGCGTAATGCCTTCAAGGTTCATCTGTGTTGTGGCGTGTGTCAGAATTTCCTTTGTTTTTAGGGCTGAATGATATTGTGTTGTATGTATATACTACGTTTTGTTTATCCAGTCATCTGTCAATGGACATTGGGTTGTTCCCACCTTTTGATTATTGTGAATAATGCTATGAACACTGATGTGTAAGTATTTCTTTGCATCCTGTTTTCAATTTTGGGGGTATGTTCCTAGGAGTGAAATGTCTGGATCATATGGTAATTCTATTTTTAACTTTTTGAGGAACTCCTGGTTGCTTTTCATACCTACATATTCTTCTATTGCTTTTATAGAGAGTTGTTTTAAAAGGTGAAATGCTTCAACCCACATAGACTATTTCTCTGAGTATTATGTGTGGGACAGAGCTGACTACAGTTTTAAATGAATGGATATTCAATTGTTCCAGACCCATTTATTGCATAGTTTGCTTCCCCTGCTCTACTGCTTTGAAACTCTAGCCTTATCATAAACTAAATTTTCATACAAATGTGGGTCCCTTTTTGGATTCCTACTCTTTCTATTGAGCCAATGTCCACAGCTGTGTGGGAACCCACACTGTTCTTTTTTTTTAAACCATTCTTAGTTTTTTTCACACTTTTTTTCCTTTAGATGAACTTTAGACTCAAGTTTGTAAGATTTAATTAAAATTTTCTAGGGATTTTAATTGGAGTTTTATTGATTGATAGTTGAATAGGAAAAGAAATGATAATTTTACACTCAACCCTTGACTCAGGAACTCGGTATTTCCCTCCATTGTTTCAGGCCATTCTTTCCAGTCTTCATTAAAGATCTTCTACATTCTCTTTAATTTATTTCTAAGTTTCGCTGCTACTGTAAATGCAACATAAGAATTTCTGTCTTTAAAATCATTTAGGAAAAGATATATTTGGTAATAACAATATTATGCTTTAATCATTCTTGTATTTTTAGACATTTGAGCTTTTTTTTAATACTATCATTTAGGAAAAATACTATTATATATAAAACTTTGACTACATTTCAGATTTTTTCTTACAGTCTTTAGAATAGATTCTGCATATTTCTGGATCAGAAAGTAGGGACAATTTCGAGGCTCTTGAGGGCATATTCTTGATACACGGCTTCCCACTGCACTCAAAATAACATTCAAAGCCTTCACCATTGTCTACACAGTCCTCCCTGACCTGGCTTCTGCCTCCCTCTCCAATACACTTTCCTGTCGCTTTCTCCCTAGTCTATCTTAGCCCAACTCTATTGGCCTTCTCTGTGTTTCTAGAACACACCAAACCTATTACCAAAATTTCAATGGCCTGACACCATAAAAGCTTATCTCATATTCACATAAATCCTCCATCTTGCAGCCGCAGCATCTGGAACACATGGTCTCCAAGATTTCTGCAAGTGGGGGAGAGAGGGCTGGAGGAGGCACACTGGTTCTTAATTACTTTGGCTCAGAAGCTCCATACGTCACTTCTGCTCATAGTCTATTGACCAAAACTAGTCATATGATCCAGTCACTGCAAAAAACGCTCGAAAATGTCAAGGAAGACACAAAACATTTGGTGAGTACTGTCTGTCTCTGTCACAATGGCCACAATTTGCCTTTCTATCATTTCTCTGGAAGTTAAATATCTTCATATATTTAATAGCTATTAGTAACACATTTTCATGAATTGCTTAGGTATGTCCTTTCCCCAATTATCAATAAGAATTCTTACTGTTTTCTTATTTGCTCATTAGAGATATTTATATATTAAGGCTATTTTAAAATTTCTTAATGATTCCACATCTTCTTACTCCAGGGCATCAGCTGAGGGAGCCCCCCCATCAGTCAAACCATCATTGTTACTTGGCAGAGGAAGGAATATGAAAAGCATGAAATTACCTGTTCCAAATTTTTTTTTCTGTGTTTGGTATGCATTTTCATGTTGTGCATTTTGCTGGTATGGAGAAGTTTTTATTATTAGATAATAATCTATTTTCCATTGATTAGATTGGACTAATAATCAAGTCTATTATTTTCCTTTTTAAATTTTTCTGTTACTTTTAAACTTTAAAAGCCCTTTCCTACCTAAATACCACACATTCACCCATATCTTCTTATTTTTATGGTTTGGCTTTTTACATTTAACTTTTCAATAAGAAATATGAAATAATTTATTGCCAGCACATAGAAAAAACAATGAGGAACTCCCCAAACACTTAAAATGAGATCATATAATGGATGAGAACACACATATGCATTATTACCTTAGCAAAATTGGCTACCAAGCTGAAGCTTCATTTAACATATGAGAACAATGGTGGAAGCTAGAAAAGGGAATACCAAAGAGATTCAGTCCAAGGAGAGATATCGCAATCAGATCTTTGTGGCAGGTACATCCTTTTGGTAGAAATAGACACATCTGGCTATCACCAGCCACTAGAACATCCAACTTTCTGTCCAGTTCTGCTTCCAAGTTCTCCATGTTCACTTCTAATTGTGAGTTGTCTTCGTATGTTGCTTGCCTACAGGGAGAGAATACACTGACTAAAGAACACAAATATCCAGTCTGTCTGTGTTACAAAAGAGTGAGTTGGCATTCTAGTTTACACAACACTCTTGTTTGTCTGTCTAGCAAAGATCAGTTCCTAGGAGCTGACTGCTTCACTTCTATTTAGAGTCAAATTTCAGAGCCTAAGAAACCAGCTCAGTGCCTTGAACACAATGATGACACCCAAGCTTGGCTCCCTTTTTGGACTTGCCTAAAAATCACCGTCTTCTCCAGGTGCTTTATATAGCACAATGCATGATTGCTTCAAAGACCAATGCACCTCATGAATTCTTTGTATCATCCTTGCATACAGACCATAATAATCTTCTCTGAATTATTTCAGTTTTAGAATTTGTGCTACCAAAGTGAGCACATGCATTATATTTAAAATCTAAAGCAAGGGCCAATGAACCCTTTGGCAAATGGGCCAAATTCAGTTCATTGCCTGTGTTCATAAATACAGTTTTATGGAAACACAGCCATGCCCATTCATTTAGCCATTCATATGGCTGCTTTCACTCTAAGGCAGAGTTGAGTTGTTGTGAGAAAGTGACCATAGGGCTGGCAAAACTAAAATATGTATTACCTGGCCATTTACAAAACAAATTTGCTGACCCCTGTTCTGGGTGGCAGAGCCACAAGATAAAATGAACCTGGATCCCTAGATGAGCTAGTGGAGTAGAGCTCTAGCCATCCAGAATGGCTCATCTTCAACTGGACATTGGAAGGAAATACACCTCTATCTTATTTGTGCCACTGGATTTTTGTGGCATTGTGTAATTATCATGTGCCATAATTAACCACCGCATAACAAATCAGTTTAGGAATAGTTACATATCAGTAAGTTTAGACTAGGTTATGCTGCTCTAATAATAACCTTAAAATCTTAGGTGCTTATAAGAAATAGGTTTATTTCTCACTCATGCTATATGTCTGTCCACTGTGAGTGAACTCCCAGTTCTGCCCCACATCTTCTCACTCCAGGGCACCAGCTGAGGGAGCCCCCCATCATTCAAACCATCGTTACCTGGTAGAGGAAGGAATATGAAAATCATGAACTGTCTCTTAAAGTTTCCACCCAGAAGTGACATCCATCACTTTTGCTCACATTCTATTGACCGAAGTAAGGTATGTGCTATAGCAGATACTACTGAGGCCCTGCCCCATGTCTCCTCAGTCATCAAAGTTCACCTGGAGCTACAGAGCAGTTCCCAGCAAGCTGACAGCCTCCTACCTGAAATGCCTGTTTCTCTCGCTTTCTATTCCCAAGGGCTTTCACCAACACCAGAACTTTTTCCACAAGTGAGCACAGCCCAGAAATACAAGGATGTTAATGCCACTGGGGCAACCTTCAACAACTGGAGGATGGGAGTTGGTGACAAATGCCCCAGAACCCCTTTCCTTTGATAGCACAATACACATGATATCTCTGGGGGTTCGCAACAGGATTGAGTACTAGTTGCCCATAGTTTTTCCCCCATTCCTGTCTCACTTCCACTTCCTCATTTTTATTTCCCCAAATCACTTCCCAAATATTCTACACTGCACCCAAGCCTTTGTCTCAGGGTCCACTTTAACAGGAACTCAAATTAAGATACATGGCCACATTTTTCACAGAAACTTAAAAAAAAATCTTAAAATTTGTATGGAAATACAAAAGACCCCAAATACTCAAAGCAATCTTGAGAAAGAACAAAGTGAGAGTCATTACACTTCCCAATTTCAAGCTATATTACAAAGCTATAGTAATCAAAACAGTATGGTACTGGTATAAAAACTGACACATAGACCAATGGAACAGAATAGAGAACCCAGAAACAAACCCACACATATATGATCAACTAATATTTGACAAGGAGGCCAAGAATAATCAATGAGATAAGGATAGTCTCTTCAAAAAATGGAATTGGGAAAACTGGCTATCCATATACAGAAGAATGAAATTGGACCCCTATCTTACATCACTCACAAAAATTAACTCAAAATGGATTAAAGACTTAAGTGTAAGACCTAAAACTATAAAAATCCCAGAAGAAAACATAGGGAAAATTCTCTTTAACATCAATCTTGGCAATCATTTTTCAGATATGACACCAAAAGCACAGCAACAAAAGCAAAAATCAACAAGTGGGACTACATCAAGCTAAAAAGCTTCTGCACAGCCAAAGAAACAATCAACGAAAGGAAAAAGCAACCTACAGAACAAGAGAAAATATTTGCAAGTCATATATCTCGTGAAAGGTCAATATCCAAAATATATAAGGAACTCCTACAACTCAATAGGAAGAAAAACAAACAATCCAATTGAAAAATGGGCAGAGGGCTTGAGCAGACATTTTTCCAAAGAAGATACACAAATGGCCAACAAGGACATGAAAAGGTGCTTAACATCATCAATCATCAGAGAAATGCAAATCAAAACCACCATGAGATATCACCTCACACCTGTTAGGATGGCTATTATCAAACAGACGAGAGATAACAAATGCTGGTGAGGATGTGGAGAAAAGGGAACCCTTGCACACTGTTAGTGGCAATGTAAATTGGTACAGCCACTACGGAAAACGGTATGGAGGTTCCTCAAAAAATTAAAAATAGAACTACCATATGATCCAGCAATCCCACTTCTGAGTATATATCCAAAAAAGTAAAATCACTGTCTCAAAGAGATATCTGCACTCCCATGTTCAGTGCCATCGTTATTTACAACAGCCAAGATATGGAAATAACCTAAGTGTCCATCGAGGGATGAATGGATAAAGAAAAAATATATACACACACACACACACAATGGAATATTATTCAGCCATAAAAAAGAAGGAAATTCTGCCATTTGCAACAACATGGATTGACCTTGAGGGCTTTATGCTAAGTGAAATTAATCAGACAGAGAAAGACAAATACGGTATGATCTCACTTAGACGTGGAATCTAAAAAAAAGCCAACCTCATAGAAATAGAGAACAGACTGGTGGTCACCAAGGGCTCGTGGCATGGGGGAAATGGGGAGATGTTGGGCAAAGCGTACAAACTTGCATTTGTAAGGTGAATAAGTTCCAGGACTCTGAGGTACAGCAGAAATATTGTATTGTGTACTTGAAAGTTGGTATGAGAGGAGAGCTTTAATGTTCTCACCATAGTAAAACAATAGCAAAATGGTAATTATGTGAGGTGACAGACGTGTTAACTAACCTTATCGTGGTAAGCATTTGACAATATATGCATGTATCAGATTATATTACAGAATATATTACATTGTACTCCATTAACTTACACAATGGTATATGTCAATTATATGTCAATAACGCTTGAAGGAAAAAAGATTCCCAGCCATGCCTAATTTCAAGGGAATGGGCGAAAACAACCTCAACAAAAGACTCCAGAATGAGAAGAGTTCGACTGACTCCTCCAGCTTCCGGGGCCTGTCTAACTGTAGTTCTAGAGAATCGTGTACCACCTGCTCCAATCACACTGAACTATGCTTATGCCCTTGCACATGCCTCCGCTTTTCTGCATCCGTAATGTATGTTATGTTCTCTGCCTGGATTGCTCTTTCCTTCCTGTCTTTAATATTTGTAATCCAGATTACTTCTTAATTTAAAACTCAACCTACATATTGTCTCCACACAGTTTTCTATGATCCTGCCCAACGTTATCCTTACCCCGCCTAGTGGGAAATCATCCTTCCCTCCTCTAAACAACTAACAGCCTTACATAATTCTCACTTCCTGCCTTGCAATATGCTTATTGCTGTTTTACCAACCCTAATCTAGTGTCATCTTCTCAATTACATGATTTTTTTTTCCAATCAATCTTTATCTTTCCCATTGCCTAACACAGCCCTAGAACATAATAAAGGCTGTTGGCCCGTAACTGACTGAATGAATGCCTGATTTTCTTCAGTTGGAAATGTCTTTACCCCACATCTACTGAGCTAACCAGAACACAAGTTTCCCTATCAGAAGCTAATGTAGAAAAAAGTTGGCTTATATTTGTGTACCAAATCTGTGACGATTCATTGTATCTTCCTTCTCTCTCATAATAAATAATCAATTTCAAGAGAAATACACTTAATTTTGGGGGGCATTTTCTATCTTTCAGGATACAAACATATTATTATTTAGTGCATTTGCATTGTGTGCAAACTTTATTGAAAACTGAAGTGAGAGTATCTTCACTTCTGTAGACAATTTGGGTCTCCTAATACAAGAGACTTGAATAACAAGAAAATCTTGCCTGTTAACACGAACTTCACTGAATGAATTTGAAATGCGGTATTACATAGAAGACAATAAGCTCACCTTGAATTCAATGGCAAACCTCAGAAGTTCGAGAAAGCTTTATGCTTCAAGAAGTCACCACAACTGTTGTGTTAGACTTCTTAAAATGGGAGAGAGAGCTATCACAGTGTAAAACCAAACATTAGAAGACTTTCCTACACTGCACTGATGATCTAAAAGCCCCAGGCTCAGAGAAATATATTCATGTAACGAATGCTGACTGAACTCCTGCTATGTGCCAGGCCTCGTGGTCACGCTGAAGACATGGTGGTGAGCAACAAGCACAGTTCCTGCCCTCAAAGAACTAACATTCCAGAGTGTGTGGTTGGGGAGGGGGCTGTCCTGACCTTACTACTTATTAGCTGTGTAATCTCAGTTCAGTCACTAGATCTATCTTAGCCAACTTTTTTGTTGTTTATAAATAAGAGGAGATGATACCAGTAGCCTCACTTTCTTGATAAGGGACTCAAATGAGATTGTCCAGGTGAGTCTAGACTTAGATATCCTTGGGTGCGGGTACCCCAGTAGCGAATAAGTACATGAATAGAGGTCATGATGGGCCCCCAGGGGTTACTGGAGGTATCGGCACATTTTTTCCAATGTCAAGGGCAGGTAACTCCCTGTCAGCCATGCAAGCTGCCTCCAGAAACTGTGTCTTGACTGGAAGTAACCATATGAATATTTCCAAGGGAGAA